AGGTAAATCCTTTTTAGAGGAAATAGTTCATTTAATCTAAGCTGATATAATACTATTTATAAATTTCCTAATAGTTACTGAAAAAAGTAATCTGTGATATAAAGAATACATACATATAATAAATTTTTCATGAATAGTCCGAGCTCTATGCTTAACTTAGTTTAATCAAGCACTGGTCCAAGGGGGTAAATTGGTAGACAGGTTTCCTGTCTACAAAGTTCCTGTCTACAAAGATGCTACAAAGTTCAATCACAAATGAGTGTAGTTATATGAAGCTATCAAAAGAATGCCAAGGTTAGTTTTCTTATTCAATGATTACTACCCAGCTTACCTAGAAAGCTTAACACAAAGAATAACCAGAGAAGCAGAGGACACTGAAGTCTTCTACATCTAAATTCTTTTCTCTATAACTTTATGACATAAACTATATCCATATAAACTTAAGTGGTGAAAATAATATTTAAGGCAGTTTAATTTTTGAGAACTTAATGAGTCATAATAAGAGGATGGTAACAGTGAGCTGTGGTCTTCTATACCCTTATATAAAGCATCTTCAAATCAAAAGATTCCACTTTAATACATTTAAATTAGCTCTGCCAAATAGATTCTAAGTCCCTGATTCTCTTTTTACCTTTGTCCTCATTTTCTTACTTGGTAAATTACTTTAAGTTTGTCAAACAAAATATGGTAAATTACTTTAAGTTTGTCAAGCTAAAAATATTGGATTCTAAGAAATACTATGCTCCTTTATAATATAAAATAGAAATGAAATTTATAAGATATTAGGATCTATGTACTAATTGTGCCACTATACTGTGAAATTGTGGTTTGATTTAGATAAATAATTAATTATTACTTTTAAAAATAATACTGTATAGTGTATACTGGACTTCTAATAAAATCCAACAAAATATTTGATGTGACTCAATATCTCAGGGTTGGTGCAGATTCTTTTTTGGCACAAGTATCATGGTGAACCTCGTTAATAACAATATTTACTGAGCTCAGGAGGATAAAAATAGAATGACTTAAAGGCTTTATTCATGCAAACGAAGCAAAAAAGAAAGACTGCACAATATGGTAAGAATACATAAACTGGTATAAGAAAGTTGCAAACCTAAAAGTGAAAGCATAGTGGAGCTATGTGTTTTTAAGAATAAATAAAGAGGAAAATAGGGATAGATAGAAGGAAGGAAAAAGAGAAAGAGGAAGAAGGGATGGAGAGAAGAAGGGAGGGGAAATGGAAGGAAAGCATTCTAGAAACCATGTATAATACCATTTATTATATTTTAGGAAGTATGATGATTTCCTAAAATATAAATGTTTATATATAAATGTTAGTTTGCATGTAAAAATACATAGAGACTCTTCAGTTGTCCTTATATTATACAGAACACTAATTCTGTTAAAGGGTTGAAATGATTCTTTCTTATAAGTCTATAATATAATGTCTGAAATAAATACTAGTTATAATTATGTGTGTGTGTGTGTATGATATGGGAAGTTTATACTGAATAAATTCTGTCAGTATGGAGAACTAGTTGATGAGGAGGAGTTGACAGAAATTCAAGTATTCTTAATAGACTGTGAACCTGTGAAAATGGGAATAATGGAAAATAAAAAAGAGAAAGGGCAAAGATTTCTCAAGTTGTCTATAGGAAAGGGATGATATGTTGATAACCACTGACTTAACATCAAACACCAGTTTAAAAAAAAATAATGAACATTATAAAGGTTATGATTAAGAAACAAAAATAGTAGAGCAAACCATGCCAAGCTTCTCTGATTTCCATGATGAAATAATTTTGCATCATTTATTTGGCTGGATGATATAGTATATAAACTCATACTTGAAATTCTGGAAATAACTTAACAAAATACATTAAATTTATTGAGATGGTAAACTGAGATTGTGCTTAGGTTACATTCCTAGCTTTACCACACTAATGTTAGTTAACTGTGGAATGCCACTCGTGGGAAAAGGCTCTCTCTCATGTGGGTTGCCACAATGAGTTCTTTATGGTGGCATTAAATATCAGGCAGAAGTCCACAGGTAACAAAATGATAAAGCTATCAAGAATAGATGCGGGAGGGGAAGATTAAGTCAAACTTTATCAGGTATACATAGAATCATCCTGTATATCTGATAGTAAATCATATCAATTAACTGAAGCAACAAGTGGTATTAAATAAACCTAAAGGTTTGCATCTAAGCAGAAACACAGAAATTACAAATAGCATTAATGTTGGTAGAATGGGAAAACTGGAGTCTCAGTGAGTCACATACAATCAAGATCTGCTGTATTTTATCTATACCTTTGAAATAAAAAAATACTTGAAAAATGAAAGCTTTGGGTAAAGTTTTTCACTAAAATATATGTAGAAGCAAAAACTGACCTCATGTGAGATGATATGTCATCTACATTTATCCGCTTGTAGTCATTAATGTTTCTGTAGTAGAATGCCTCAATTATGTGCTTATGAAGTACTATTTTACCTAATATATGATATGCTTCTCTGATTTCCATGATGAAAGCGAGAATTTCAGAAATTCTTAAAATCTGAAAATTCTGAATTTTTAAATAATCTGACCTTAAGAATTAGAATAAAAGGCTTTGGGACCCTGTTAGACAAGTGTGACCACATTCATAGAATACAAAGGAAATCTTGGGCAAAATAATAGAAGCATTACTCTTTGATCATGGAAAAATAATGATTAATATGCTGTGACATGTGGAATATTCTACTAGTACAATTTAAGAAGAATGATAAATGCATTTGGTATCTAGCACAGTATTTGGTACACATTAATCACTAGATAGATGGTTGTTTAATAAATGAATATATAATACATCATTTTAAAAAACAAATATATATCAGTTTATCCAAACTCAAAGATTTCTTCCATTTTCAATCTATCATAATGATTTTAACCCTAAAACTGCAGACCATCTAACAATTCACAAATCACTATTCTTGGCTGCCTCACTTTGTTCATGATGCTTCATCAATGGAACTATTCATTCAAATTAATCATACCGGATAAAATCCTATCCATTTCCTACAGGAAGAGTTCATCACTCTTCCTCTATATACTCAAGAGTATGGATACCAACCTGAGTATGGCCCAGATCACATCTGGAATAAATAGTATTTTGGTATGTCTTAATACCCAAACAAATTTTAGATGTCTTAAGGGACAATTGGTAACCACTACTTAGTATTACCTCGATAACATAATTTTTGCATACTTATAATATAAAAGTTATCAAATTAGATTAAAATTAGTGGGAGTGATTACAGATTAAAAGCTAATTTTTAATCATGAGAGTTAAAAGAATATTTGCAACACTGGTAACAGTAGTGGGACCATAGTCTGATTTGGCTGGCTAATGAATTGTTAGCTGATACAGCACATCAAAGTGTGAAAATGATTAAATAAATGAATTAATGCCTAGGAGGAAGGTAAAACTAAGGTGATATATGAAAAAATATTAAAACATATTCATGTTAAATAAAGTTCAAGTACATAGAAGAATAAGTGGTATTGGTCCAGATCATGAATTTAAAGAGATGCAAGTTTCATTAAATATAAGAACTTTCTAGAGTCCTAAAGATGAGAAGCTATTTCATGAACCACCTTTTTCTCTCTGCCTATGGTGCTACCAAAGGGTAAATGATCTACTGAGGATATTTTCTCAAATTGGATTTTCTAAATGGTTTATGAAACTCACATGTTTTTAAAATTATATCTATCTCATAGAAGTAAAACCCTAGGATTTAGAAGTTGTTACATCCAAAACATAGACTTAGAATCATATAACACTAATAATAACTTGGCACTTCAAAGTAAACACTAAGTTCAATTATTTCATCCTTTTATAGAAATAAGTCTATCAAATCTAAATATACCTAATGTCATCTGAATCTGAAGTGAATATAGTTCACACACTTGTTAAAACAGAAAGATAATGAACAATTCTGTTACTAACAACAATGTGTCTCTGAGCAAGCCTGTCCATTGTTATATATGAAAAGATTTTTGGGTTTTTTAAAGATTTATTTATTTATGCATACAGAACTGGGGTTCAGGCCAGAGGTGCAAGAGCAGTGAAAGGATTCACCAGAGACAGAGTGAGGCAGTACACTGCTGAGGGGAGCAGCAGGCGGGTCAGGAGAGGTCCACTGCACCATGTGGGTCACCTCCATGGCGGGGGATCGAACTCATGCTGCAGTGGCTGTGATAACTTCATAGTGCTGTGCTTTAACCAGTTGCACCACTAGGAGTGCCCACATATAAAAAGGTTTTAATTTATTTTTCTTATATTGCTACAATAAGAAATAGTGAAAATATATTAAAGAAATCATAAAACTAGATTTTTAGGATTTAGAGTACTATTCAAACTTCCAAATATAAAACTGCTTCAAAACAGGCTTCCTTGGTAGTGAAAATCTATATGATATATGTGTTTATGTGCATATTTTATACATATCTGTATGTACATGTTTATCTCACCAATGTAGATTTTAACAATGCTTTATAACTTTCATATAGCAAGAAATGAGATTAACTGGTAGAGGCAAGACAACGTTAATTTCTACCTAAGGAAATAGAGGTTCTGAAGCATGTTCCCATGCTTCATTATTAGAAAATGCTAGAAAGATTATTCTAATACCCAGAATTTTCCTCTCCGCTGCGGAAAAATCTCAGAATGGGATGTCCCACAAAGGATGAAGAAATGCCCTTATTTAAACATGTGTACAAAAAAAAATTTATGTATTATTTAAGAAGGGACTTGTGTTAAACCCCAACTTTAAGATGTATTTTAATAATAGCTAATAATTTTTAAGAACTCTGAGTAATAAGAAATTTTCATGAGACAGTAATAATACACCTCAGGTATAATGAGGCCCTTAAATTTTCCTAATTATTATTTCACCACCCTCATTATACTGACCCAAATAATCAGTTCTTCCCCAACACATCCACAAATACAAACCTCATCCCCTTGCTGAGGCCTCATCAAGGAAACCCGGTCATACTGTCGCCGCAACAAAGCCCAGAGTGCGTCAAGACGACCCTACAGAGAAATGAGACTGGTCACTTCTTGGTGGAACATAGACCTCCCTGTATCTGCTGCATAAATGAGTTAAAATGAAGAAGGTGAAGTCTTGCTTTACTTTCATTTTTTCATAAATTAAACAGATACACAAATCACAAAAATGAGGTTATGGTTGCCAAGAAAGTGTCCAGTTGTTAGAATAAAATAAATGTCAGCTAGCTGATGTTGTGGGGAGAGGATACAAAAAAAAAATCACAGTTTCTCTAGAAAGTTTCAGTCAAAGCATACAATCTGGAAAATTACCTTAATTGGTGTGTACCACTTCGTCTGAGGAGGCTGTATGGGTCTGGGTCGAGGTGGTTTAGGCCTGACAGGTACCTCTGGTTCTTCAGGAATTGTTACCACAGCATTTTTGGCTTTCTCCAGTCTTGCACCTTCCTCAGTAGACCCTTTATCACCCCAACGAACCTTGAAAACAAAGTGGAAATACTGTCATATATAGTGTCCTAGAGGAACAGCTGTCATTTAGATAATGGCCCTTTACTTGTGTTTTTTAAACATATATGTGGTCACCATAGTTTTCTCACTACCAAAACACCCATAGTCCTCCATTATAGTCCATTGTGCTCCCTTTCTATTTTCCCCATTTCCCTCTCACTCCCTCTACCCTCCTCACTGTCTCAGATCTAAGCTCAGCTATGAAGGGTCAGTCTTAAAGTTCGTCTGATCTTTTGTGTGGTTTCTCTAGTTAACACATATAAGTGAAAATCTTAGTATTTATCTTTCTTTTTCTGGCTTACTTCACTTAGAATAATCTCTTCTAATTCTATCCAAATTGCTGCAAATGTCATGAGCTTTTCTTTTTTATTGCTGAGTGGTATTCCATTGTGCATGTACACCACATTCTGATTCACTCATCTGTTCTGGGACATTTAGGTTGTTTCTAAATCTTGGCTATTGTAAACAGTGCTGCCATAAACTTAGGACTGTAAGTTTTCTTCTTAATTAGTATTTTTTTGTGTGTGTTCTTTGGATAGACGTGTAAGAGTGAAATTCCTGAGTGATATGGTAGTCCCATTTTTGGACTTCGGAGGAATTCATTGCTCTACTTCTTTCTATAGGGATTGGATGAGTCTACATTCCCACTGTCAGCTTAACTTGGTTCCTTTATTTCCACAACCTCACCAGCAACTTGTTTCTGATTTTTTGATATGTGCCATTATCACAGATGTGAGGCAGTCAGTATCTCACTGTGGTTTCGATTTGCCTGTATCAAACTGAAAATCTGCTATACAGCAAAGGAGACACTAACCAAAGCACAGTAGTCTTGCTGAATGGGAGAAAATATTTGCACATTATACCTCTGATAAGAGATTAATATCAAAGATGTACAAAGAGCTTATACAATTCAATAAAAAGAACACAGCCCAATTAAAAAATAGGTAGAAAAGCCAAACAGGCATTTCTACAAAGAAGATATGCGATGGTCAACTGACATATGAAAAAATGTTCACCATCTCTAATCATCAGACAATGGTCCTTTAGCTCACCATCACAGAGCAAAGGCAGAATGAGCAAGTGTTACAAAGTGCTCCTTTGCTGAGAGGTAATAGGTTTCTCACCCCTACTTATACATTAAATACTAAGATCCCAATGAAATTGGAAGCAACCAATTCTCCTTACTTCAAATAAGAGGTTAATTTGTAGTTTACACATGAAATGTATAGCAGTATTTAATCTTATTCTCTAATTAAGATGTTACCCTTCTATTTGACCACATACCTGTAGATACTGATGGTTCTAGGAAAATTAGGACGTAGTGATTTACTAAATGATTACTATCATTACAAAACCTATACAAAAATACAATGAGGGATATTTTTCCTTTCAGATGAAATTGAGGCACAAAGAGGATACAAGCAAAAACCACACCGTTAGAAAGTAACAGGATGGGAATTTAAAGACAGGCAGTATAAAATAGGTGAATAAGTAGGCTTGACTTTTGGAAATATATTTTACACAAAGCAGTTAAATTTTCCTTCCAAAATTTTCATTAAATTTGACTAAGGCAAAAAGCATGATATAAATATTGACCCTTTGGATGTAAAAAACTTTTTTTTTTAAATTTTGTAAAGCTTGAAATTTTAAAGAAGCTTACAATCTTTAGTTTCTATCCTCATGTAGTATGGTTACTTGACTTATCAATTTTTCACTGAGGAAGGCAAATCTGCACAGTCTGCTTTGAAAAGAAAAATTTAACATTAAGAGGAAATTCTAAGATTTATAGGGAATTCCCTTCTGGAAAACCCTGGACATTGAAAATCATAGTATCAAATAATCATTTTCTTTATTTTTCAACATACAAGAATTAAAGTCCAAATCTGAGCCAAACTTTCATGTGTGGGCATGTGTAA